ACCACCTGGAGAGAGATGACCCAGAGCAAGACAGAGTACTTCCAGACAGAGCATCATCTATACACTGGGCACGACGTGCATGATATGGAATATACCACTGGCCAATTTGGGGCTCAATCTGAAACCTGCGGTCAAATCCTGGGCTAGTAATTGGGGCTGTGCTCCCTCCCAGCTTGTCCTGCACCTGCAGACACTGGCACAGCAGAGAAGCTGAAAAGTCCTTGACTGTCCTGGCAGCAACTATAAACATCAGTATGTTATCAGCCTTCTTCTCAGCACAAATCCAAAACACAGCCTCTTTCTAACTACTATGAAGAAAGTTAACTCTGCCTCAGCTGAAACCAGGACAGTGGTATGAAGTGCAGACATCTTACCTGAATAATATAAAGCAAAATGCAGCATTCCAGTGCAGCACAGCCTCTTTCCTTCAAATACTCTGAAACTTAGTATCTAACAAGGGGTTATCCCTGTAACTTAGTGCATGTACATCTCAAACATATCAATTCACTCCAATTTTACAGACACTAATTAGAGTTTCAGGCTTGCTGTAAGTGATATTCTGGAATCAAGCCTCCAGCAATTGCTCTCTTTATTCTGCTCTCTACAAATTCCCCCAGTAATTTGGTTAGATTGCATCAACAGTATATTAGAGAAGACTGACACAAGTTCCCAAGTTTTATATAACAGTACTACAGTATTATACCCAATTACAATCTCTAAGGCAAGAAACACAAATTATTTATTAAAAAGAAAGCACCACTAAATGCTATGTCTCTTTTTTGATATTTAACCTCTTCTCCTGTAGCAGACCCTTCCTAACTGAGTACCATGAACATTTCAAAAAAGGAAGATGAGGAGAGCACAGCAAGATTTTTCTTTAAAAAGCAACTATTAATGCTGCCTTTTGTTTGTGAGATAAAGTCAATTTTCTTACAAGTAGCTGCTATTCTTCAACATAGGTTTGTGTTTACAAGCAATCAGTGGAGTACATGCATGGAATAACTTTCTGGTTTTGTTCTCTTATCCCTGATGGAATCCGTAAGAAACACGCTTCAAGTCACTGTATTTTCATATAGTTCATCCTTTAATGAAATACGCAGAACATACATTTTCTTCCCAGTTCCTTTCAAAGAATGCATATCCCCTCAGCGAGGGTGGTGTCATGCAACATCTCAGTAAGATCATTTGAAGAAGGGTCCTCGAAGTCCTGAGCTAAACTGAAACTGAAGAACAGCCCTGCAAAATGCAGCACCGATCTGTGAAACCTCATCAAGAGACGAACACTCAGCAAAGGTGCTAGGGAAAGCTCAAGACGATCACATTTCAGATGCTGACTACAAAGTTCTCTGCAAGATCTGAACATAAAGCAGCCATTATTGCTTCAGTTCTCAGGCCCTTATAAGGGACAGATCTGTATTTGTGACTGAACAGTACACCTTTACACCACAATCCAATGTTAAGTTCTCTGTGAAGAGAGTGCAGCCCCTTTGATTTTTCCATTTTGGACCTGAAAAGTTGGTGGGAAGTATGTTGTCATGTTTTCCAGCTGAATGGAACTGTAAGAGCTTATTCATCTTGACAGCAGTGCAGAGATGCAGGGACAGAAAGGCCTCTGGAGCCCACAGGAGCTTTCTCCTTTGTGCTGTCACTTGCAAGTTTCTAGGCAGCTCAAAAGAAGGATTCAGAGTAGAAACCTCCTATGCCTGACAGGCAGGAAAGTACAGATGCTTTGCTTATACATTGTCTTTCCAGCTGCCAATAGCACCTGGTTATTTTTATTTACAGACTAAAATTGTTGCAGAGGACTATCGCATCTGTTCCAGCCTAAGATCAGAGTGGAGGAAGATATGGCCAATTAAGGAAATAAAATATCTAAAGACATGTACAGATCGTACCCCCAAAAGCAAACCTGGTGCTGACATCTGAATACGCACAAGGTGTTTTAGGAGATGCATGACTCTGAAGAGGGGGTGGGCTAATTCATGGATCTTGAGACTATAAGAAACAATCATCCCTAAGGGGATAACAAATAATACCACTTGCATCTTTTGCTTTCTCTTCTGCTCTGCCAGTAAGAATCTCATGATTAAAAAACCTTTGGCCACGACTCTCTTAGCCAAAAGATTTTAGGCTCCAAATTCAAGGCTGAAAGACGAAACACTGGGATAGTTAAAAATGGAGTAAATTTTTTTTTTCCTCTCTTCTTTTGAGGCCCTAGGAACAACTGGAACAGATTAGGCTCCAGTTGTGTGGTATTATCCTAGCCTGGCAAATCCACAGAGGAATGCACGGATTTGGTAAACAAAAACTCTTGAGAACACCACTATCAATGTTTTTGGATCTGGGTTTAAATACAAGAAGGCATGTTTCACTATGATGTGGCCTGCCCCAGACAGTAAAGGCAGAGTTATACCTGTCAGAAATACAGAATTTTATGACACAGATGGTATGGATCTTGAAGCCTTAGCATTTCAGAGTCAAAGCTGAAAGAAGTTGCAATCAAGTTTAGAGAACAAACTGGAATGCCTAAGGACCAACCCTGAGCCAGAGCCCTGAAAAAGAAGGTAAGAATGCTACAGCTCTTCAAAGATGCCAGGAAGGAATTTAAAAGTGAATGCTAAATTAGAGGAATCTGTAGCTGTTACGCAGTTAACACAAAAAAATAAACTATGACTCAGATGTTCTTATACCTTTTATTACTATATGAATTGCATAAGACTGGGGAAGCTTGAAGAATGCCCCCACCCCAGATACTGCTGTAATAAAAAAAGAATTCCACCTGAAGTACTTGCACATAAATTTCCAACAGTAGGAGTATGTACGTACACACAGTTGCTTAGAGGAGAATAATAAAAGATTCAACAATTCAGAGTGATATATTGTCATTTCAGAAAGCATTCAACTCTAAAAACAACATTAAAAATACTTTTAAAAACCCCAACACATATTTACACATCCTCTGACTCCAGCTACTTGCTCAGACAGACCCTACAGTTTGTCTACCATACAAAAGGTTTATTTTATGTCTTTTACCTGTTCTAACCGCATTTCGAGCCTGGTTGACTGTCATTTGTCCTGTCACGTGCATAAGGACCTTGGTTTGTGGACTAGTTTGGATATGCGCTGCAGAAACCACAGCTGTGGGTACTGTGCTGGAGTTCACTGTCACACTATTCCCCTGGAGCTTCTGAGATGTTCCACTAGCAGTGGAAGGGCTGACCACAGTTACCACTCGTCCCGTTTGGCCAGCAGTAGACATGGGAACTTTTGTTTGTGATGCACTTGTCACTGTCCTGTCAAAATTAAAAGCAAAACACTAAAACACAACTGCAAAATGAGCTAGTTACTGAAACCCACAGCTCATCTATAATCCGATTTTACCATTAAATACAAGAACAGAATCGTTTTGGACTTGAAACTAGATAAACTGTTTAGACACTTGTATAAAAATATACCTTGTAACTGGAGCCACATAATTTCCAGGAAAAACACCAATCTTGCTTGTATGCATGGAAGTTCCCTTGAACCAGCCATCTTGACAGCGTTCAAATACTAAGAACATTTCTCCCTTACGCAGTTCCAGTTCATCTTCTTTTCGAGGAGTGTAAGGGTATATAGCAATGTACCTGAAAGACAGGAAAGTAGATGCAATTGATAAACCTAAAACAATTCGAAACATCGCTTGTGTTTTCTGGCAGAGAAAGTTCAGTTGCAGATGAGAAGGCATGGCAGAAAGGGTTGTTAGTTGATCCATCGTACTGTTACAATATTAAAACAGAAGTTATGGTGGTATTAAGGTAAACAATGACCTTTAAGAATATCCTCCTAACTGCACTTTAATGCAATGTACAATACTTCTAATAAGATTGTCTACTTTCTTAATTTAGTGAACTTAATTAAATAGGAGTTTCTCAGCTACAGATCCCAGCATAACCCACTTCTCCCTCCCTACATATGCTTCTAGTTTCTCCTACACTTTGTGACATCCCGATTTCTTTCTTTTTGGAGGGGTGGGGTGTACTGAAAAGTTCTGCTAGTTGGGAGTGAAAGATCAATATCAGAACTACTTTTCAAATTGCAAAATTGGAATCACCCGGTACAACTGCAGTGCCAAAAAGAAAGACACGTTACTAGAACTTGAAGTCTCTGGGTAAGGTAGTTAGCAGCTACTCACTTGTAAAGGTTACTTCCTTTTTTCCTTCTAAGCAATACTAATGCTTAATACAGTGCATCTGAAATCATAGCGAAAGTTCAGAAACATTTTACATTTATTGTTTTTAAAAATACATTCTCAGGGGGAAAAAAAAGTAAAAACAAAACCGGAGCTCCTGCAGTTGCATACTGGAATATTGCTACAGAAGTCTTCCAATAAAATTGCATAATTTCCTATCATCACATTAAAAAGTGATACTGTTTTAACCACCACAGTGTTCTATTTTCTGACATATTTTGAACATAACAAAATTGTTTAAACCATGTATATAAAAACGTTTATATAATTATGGATCCACACCTTATGGGAAGCATTCTAATAAATCACATTTTCTCAAAAATAATATACTTTTCACAAGAGGTAGTAATTAGGGCAGATGGGCAGAATACTGCCTTTTTTTGAAAAAAGATCCACAATTACTTGCAATGCAAGTCTTTCTCATTCCCCTTGTCACCCCAGGGGTAAAAAAGCGACTTTACAAAACATTCCCTCATCAAAATTGTCTCTTGTGCACAGTAATGACAGCATTAACTGTATGCTGCTTCTTTTTGCATTATATTTTTGTTCTTTGCTGTCCATCTAGGAAACTTTGCATTTTCTGGAAAAATGTTTTAAAGGCAATATAGGTACCTCATATAGCAAGTCCAAAATATGCTTTCAAGGCAACAAATGACACATTGGCAGCAAAAGGCTTCACTGGTACATGATTTATAGGTGATGTACAAAGCCACATGCTGAAGCTCTATGGGAAAGCAACTGATGTGTTTTAATTGGTGTTCATTAACAACCCTTTTAGTTAAATCATTCCAAATTTCATTAGTATCCTCATATAGAGCAACCCTTTGAAGATGGGGGATGGGAATAAATGAGATGGGAACTTGATTAACTGCACTAAGCACAATAATCCATAAGAAGCAGTGCTAAAATGCATGACACCAAAGAAACAGCCCAAATCCATATGCACCTGCTATACAAGAAGGGTGCTCTTTGGGAGTGGGAGGAAACCTGGTGGGAAGATAAAAATAAAGACACAGAACAAAAGCAGCCCTTGCATTATTCAAACATGTCCTATTAGATGGTTCAGCCACTCCTGAATTTTTTATTTTCTTTTATTGTTCTTATTCTCCAAGCTGCACACATCAAGAAGAAAGATGCCGGCAGCACATGTTAATATACAAAATATTTTCGCCCAGAAGCATGATGCACATTTGCTTGTATTACAAGTGTTAAGACATAAAGCTAACTAGCAGCTTTCTGCCTTCACTCCAGATTGCCACCCACTAATTACTGAACTGTAGAATCTTCAGTCAAATTTCAATCGCAACTTACTCAGGCAGTCTGACAATGACATGCTAACATAAAAGTCTAAATGAAATACAGCACTTTGTGTGTTTTGGCACAAGTTATTCCATATGAGAACAGCCTTTTCATTCCATACATAACAGAAAATATTGAATAAATCCACTCCAGAGTTTGCCATTTATGAGTTATACAGTCTTCATCGCTAACTCAAGAATTCATTAATCTTCTGCACAATAAATACTTCATATTTTTGAAGTAAGTCCTTTCTATACACAGCAACTGCTGATTATACTTACCTAGGACATAAGTAACCCTCAGTATGAAGGCTGTTCGGGGATATCACCATTATGGATGCTTTGTGGCTTTTGTTCTGAGTTGTACGCTTGGCTTTCTGGGAATTCTAGCAGAACATAGCCAGCTGGCATGATACAAGTACATGTGAACCTGCTGATCTCATTCCATTTTTCTGACCAGTGAAAAGTTTCAATTTTACTTACACACTTGGACGAGTTTGCGGTCGTAAATGTGCCATTTGGTCAGTTGATCCAGATGTAGGCCTTTGTATTACACTTGCAGATTGAGGTCCAGAAGAGGCCGATGCAATGATTGCAGCAGACAAGAGAGGTGGTGGCGGAAGTGGGGGATTCATATTCTGTTTTTATGAGAACAAAAAAAAAATAGCAACAGATGATCAATATTGTTTGATGAGTGAATCAGCTGCAAAAAAAAAAAAAAAAAAAAGGTATGATATTCTAAGGAAATGGGAAAAAAACCAGCCAAGTTCAGTATTTCTTTACCTACTGGTACCACATAGTGGAGAGTTAGGTTTGTCTGCATTTCTTTTTCCAGTTTAAAATCTTGAAGTCTTGGCAGCTAATTAAGTAAGTGACAAGCAATTTCTCAGCACAGGAAAAATGGAAAGCATTGTTTCTAATTATAACATCTTTAGGATGGGACTCGACAAAAATTCAGAAGCCTTCCAGGAGGTTGATTTTGCGTCCTACTGCTGACTGTACTTCAAAACATGATTGTTTTTGTCACCTGAAGCTGAAACATAATACACAATTCAGCAGCAGTGCACCCAAAACCACCCCTTCTGGGGGAAAGTTTCTTTTGATGTATGGGTTACAAAAGCAGGCACAATATGAGACCACAGTCACTGAGGTATTGTTACCACTTTCTCCTATTCTTCTAGTTTAAAGAGTTAGCTTTTGAAATTCAGTATTATTGAGATTGGTAATCTTTAACAAACACCCCAGTAAAAAGGCCCAGTTCCTTTACAGGCAGATCGTAATGGGGGTCCTGCCTACAGGCTTCTATGCCTTTTGAGACTCAATGAAGCAATTGTTACCTTCTGCTCTCTAAAGCCTCAGACAATTCTTTAGGACCTTGTGTACTGACACTCCTGGGAAAAGTCTCTCACAAAAGCAGAATTTTTCCTTCCCCCCTTCCAAAAATAATTATTTGTGTTACAACGCACACAAAAAGAGTAACAAAAAGCCTGCAACACTTGAAAATGTAAAACTGAATTAATTTCAAACATGATCTTCGACTTAACGCAATCCCTTAATATTGAAACAAAACTCTAAACCACACCACTACAGGTTTAAAACAACATAAAAATATAAATTAACAAAATGTCCTGAAGACACAGTAAAGAATTCCATGAATAAAAGCTTTCAAATCTAGAGAAAACTGATTAATTCTTATAGTTTTTCAGTCAAAATTCTTATGCTTAGTTATGATGTAAACTGTATGGTATATTGTGAAATATTCCTATTTTATTTAATGCTTTTTTTTCTGATCATATATTAACAATTTCTTAAGACCAAATAGGTCTCCTGTATCCAACACAAAAAAGACGTGACCTGCTGGAGAAACATCACTGTGAGCTTTGGTACTAATAGCTGAGTTATCTACAAGAACTGTAATTGCATTTGTTTCATATTCTAGATACCCATCCGTCCAACAATCTTCTAAAAATATATCAATAATTCATACTGAAATACCAACATTTCTCTTCCAGTTGCTTATAGCAGAAGTTACTTCCCCCCTCCCAGTCAGCTTCAACAAATGTCTTGGCTGAATCCAAGATGAATGTGAGCATCTGACTTTTAGGCAACCCGTCTATAAAACATAAATTCAGATCTTTTTTTTTAGGCATCTAGATTCCTTTATACATGGCAGAACTTGTAAATCCACATTAGGAGATGATTAGCTGTAAATTTTTAAAATTAAACCTATTCATGCACAATACCAAGGCTGTCACAATTCCACACTTCCTGCATCTCTAGAGACATAAATGCTAGATGTTGTATTTTATTCATTTGAACACACAATATACATTGAATCTTTAACTGCAATAAAGGCACCCTCCCAGCTCTATTTTATTCTGCTTTATTCAGGTTCTGTTCCCCTCCCTGTGTCTATTACTACGGTAATGAAACCTTCAGTGAGCCACAGCCCAATTAAACTCCTAAAGATTTGGCAAGTACTTAGAAATCTAAATAAGCTACCTGATAGGCTTTAGAGGACTAAGGTTCCTCAGTTTGCACGGCTACAACTTGATAGAATAGATTCAAATGCTCTAGCCAAGTTTTCAAGTAATGTTTTCTGGCATGTAACCATTTTTCTAGCTATTGAGAAACATACCTACCTCCAGAGCACAAGCTAGTTCTGATGATTCCCATATTCAACATTCTGTGAATGAAAATATGCAAACCCCATGTGATTTAATAAAATATGTTTATCAAAATAAGAGTATTTTTATTTTAGGTAGTTGGGGGGAAAAATTCAAAGTTTCTGCAACTACTTTTCAGACAAGCATACTTTCAAGCATATAAAACAGCAAATAAGTGATATTTTTTTAATTAGAAGACAAATCATTATGTAATTTGATACTTAATTTATGTAAAAACTTCAAATAGTACCTATACTCATGCTCTAGAAATTCATAGATATTACTATGCTTAAATATAATTAGGCTGCATTCCCCTATCAGTCAAGTGAAGATCAATAATCAGCTCCCTCAAAGAATAACAAAAGGCACAGCAGTGAAAAAAAACATTCATTAACTGTCTTCACTCCTAGAAGGTCTAGGAAAAAAATATATGACTTGCAAAATCCCCTGAGGGCTAACATATTAAGGATCATGTTTAACAGAATTCCTAAACTATATGTTGTCAAGCACAGTCCTCTCATACAAAACCTCACTGTTTCTTTCAGCTGCTTCCTCTTCCCAAAGTTGATTTGAATTTTCCTTGGTCAAAACTCAGTCCCTATTTAAACCTCCTCCTGACTTACTTGCACTATTGAATCAGCTGGAACTACATGAGAGAGCGCTGAATGTCATCAGTATACTATAACCTTCACAGCTTGTACCTCATTAATAATAATTCAGACTACCTTATATACTTTAACATAGAGGGGAAATTTTTTTGTGTGTGGGTAAGAGAACAGGACCAGAAGAAAAAAGTTTTTTTTTTTAATTTTTGAAAACTTCAGCACATAAGTGAATGTAAACCATCCAAATATAGACCACCTATTCCTGCTAGTTAAGCGCACCTACCAAGCCACCATTTCAAAGTCAACATATTCAATCTGCAAAAGCAGCAATATGGATATCTAAGTTGACTGCAGTCCAAAATACTTTTAACTTCTCAAGAGACTATAAAGGCAGAGTTAAAGGAAAGTAAGTTATCTGTTGCTGCTACATTCTGTTTTTCTTCTGCTGCTTTTGCATGTTACTCTAACTTTGCTGTGGTATATTTTGCCTTGGTTTTTCCCATATCATGGTTCAAATCACATACTTTCTTTAAGAGTTTTTTCAGCAAGATCTATGGCAACTAGATCTCCTCCATTAGATAACTACTTTATAAATTACATCCAAGAATTTCCTCCCAAGTAAATGAGCCTTACATAATTGTACGTGCATACTTTCACCCAACAACTATTGAACTTGACATCTGCTATTTATATTTTATCAAGAACTTCAAATATACTAAGCACCCACAAGGTTCAAAAATGCCAGTGGCCAAGAAAAGCAGACCAATTAATGCCCCCATTAAGGGCAAAGCTGTGGTCTGAAGTCCCAGAGAACACTGTAAGTGATAATATCACAGACAAAAGCCTCAGCTGTGAGAAGTTTGTCTCAGTTCACAGCTTCTTCAATTTCAAAGAATCAAACCTCAAAACACAAAACAAGAATTAATGCTGCTGGCTAAAGATCTAAGCTACAGAACTCCTACTGTAAAATAAAACTTTTAAATAAATTATCACAGTTTTTCTGAATGCAAATTAAAATTTGCTTAAGTGATACAAGCAGCAGATAGTGTATATGGTCACTCAAGAAAAACACTCTCATGCCTAAGTCTCATTTGTGTCAATTTTGTCTTCAAATGTGTACATTACTTCATACAAGGTTTGGTACCACATAACATCTACAAAAGATTATTATGGACAAAATAAAATTAATAAAATTGTCATTTTTTGAACCACTGTAATATTTCCCAAAATAACAACGTTAACAAACTAAAATGTGATCCTATACATGTACACAGATAAAAGACTCACAGGCTCCTTTAGGCTAGGAATAAATCTCAACTGTCTTACGAGAAACTTGCTATCCAACAAGACAGCTCAAAACATCTCCTCTTAACAATAAAAAAAGCCATCTTCCTGCAAGAAGATAAGAGAAGACACTAGTTTTTCTTTTCTTCTAGACTCAGGACAGATAAATGTAGCAAAGATGCATAAATTCAGGTTTACTGTAAAGGAATATATCCTTCTCTACTGATGGGGAATCATGTTCAGGATCCTCTCTGATTTCTTCTTTCTCCCTTAATCTGAGTCTGGCATGAAGCCAAATAAGTTGTATGAACAGCTTGCTCCTAAGGAACAATCAATTATAAATAGTGTTATAAACACGAAAACAATTGACTGGAAGAAGATTCAATTAAAGCATCTTCACGCTAAAGAGAAACTGTCCCTGTTCCCATCCAACTCCCTTGTCATTTGCTTAGTATTCAGAAACAACGAAAAAGCTAAAGGGGGAAGCTTAGAGAAATGCAGGGGTTTATACTTCTGAAAGCAAAAAATACAAAAGCAAAAGAACTCAAGCTAACCACTTCTGATGTATTAAATCATGCAATCACAATTGTTCAGCAGTTTAAAATTAATGCTCAGAATGCCCGGGAGGGTTTTTCCAGAAGGGAAACATCTAGAGAGAAAAGAGCACTACTTTCTCTCTTAATCTGTCAGAACCGTTTTGCACATTTCTAAAATTAAAACAAGAGTTCATGAAGCAAGAGGAAAAGTGGACGTTAAAGACACACTTCACAGTCTGTGACTATAAACTGCACCATCATCTAATATCATCAATAGTAAAAGAACACAGGGACGACCTGAACGGTAGCCTCAGCTGCCAACTTGTATTTTAGTCATGCTGAAAACAAGTCAAGAAGAAACAGAACATTATGTACAGAAAGTTACTGACTTTTAAAGAGTCTGGCAGAGAATAATTCAGATTCTCAATGGGAATTATATGTCTAATTGGAAACATAACCAGGAATATGGTTATCACAAAGAGAAAGTAGCACTCCAGGGTACAGGATGATCATGTGGCAGGAGTTTCACTCCATGCTGCATTCAGCACTGTGATTTGATTCCTGTGGGTATCAATGGTGAGATCGCTTTTGAACAAGCTTATGCAACTAAAGCACCCAAGGTGGTTTAATGACTTCACGCCAGCACCAAAACAAAGTATTTTTACATATTGGCATCAAAGAAAGAACTACTGAGTCTTAATAACAAACTAAAGAGTTTGTTACTGAAAGGAAAAAAAAAAAAAAGCAGCTTCTGACAGAACTTTTGAAATTATGCTTTGAATCCTGCCTACCCCATCCTCTTCAAAATCTATCTTGGCCACAAATCAAATCAATTACTCAATGTTTGTAGCATATATGTTAGCTAGACTTGTGTTCTGCCTAACAGCACAAATGATACTAACGCTGATTTTGTTTGCTCAGTTTTCTGAGGTATTTTCTGAAGGATGGGATGAAAGATAACATGGATTAGTACACAAGCAGCTAATTGTTTTGAGTACTAGATGTACACCTCATATGCAAAAAAAAAAAAAAAAAAAAGAAAAGGACCCTTGGGACCTTCCTGGTGGACACCATGTTGAACACGAGCCAACAATGTGTCCTTGTGGCAAAGAGGGGTAGTTGTATTCCAGGCTTCATTAGGAGTGCCCTCAGGTCCAGGGAGGTGATCCCTCCCCTCTCCACAGTGACGAGGCCATACCTGTAGTACTGTGCCCAGTTCTGAGCTCCCCAGTACAAGAGAGCCATAGACATACTGGAGTGTCCAGCGAAGGGCCACTAAGATTAAGGGACTGGAGCATCTCTCCTATGAGGAAAGACTGAGAAAGCTGGGACTGCTCAGCCTAGAGAATGCTCGGGGGATCTCACCGATGTATAGAAGTACCTGAAGGGAAGGTACAAAGATGACAGAGCCAGGCTCTCTTCAGCAGTGCCCAGTGAAACAAACTGAAACACAGGAGGTTCAGTCTGAGTATCAGGAAAGAGCTTTTCACTGAGAGTGACTGAACACTGGCACAGGTTGCCCAGAGCAGTTGTAGAGTCTCCATCCTTGGAGATATTTAAAAGCCATCTGGACACTGTCCTGGACAACTGGCTCCAGGTGGCCCTGCTTCAGCAGGGATGCTAAACAAGATGACTTCCAGAGGTCCCTTCCAACCTCAACCACTCTGTGACATTAAAATATGAATCTAAATATAAGGAGCTTATTAATTAGTTCCAGATTAGTACACATTTAAGAGCAGGATGGCACAGATGATCCACAGATTGAAGGAGTCGTTAACAATAAAAGGACACAGCATTGCTACAGTGCAACCAGCATTACTCAGCAAGTCAGGGCAAAAGCACACTGTCTGTATAACTGTCAATAATAAGGTCATCTGCCTGAAGAACAAAGAATGTGAAATACACTTACTTGGATGAGAGCAATTCCTGCATCACTAATGATGATGAAAATTTGTGGGATCACTGTGGGTATTTAGCTGAACAAACTTTGTGCTACACTCAGGCTAAATGAATGGATGCAAATTCTCAAGATATAAACATCAAACTAACAGGACAAAAGTAAAAATGTCATACCATCAATATTTTCATCACTGACAAAGACCGTGCAGTACCATATCCAGTTCTGGCATGCACTCACCATGTGTTTACCATGTTAGAAGGAGGTACTGAGGATAATTCAGAAAACAACAGCATCAAAATTTTCAGGACTGAAGTCCCAAAGAAAGCTGTCAAAATACAACCTCTGAACTGCAACCAAGCCACAACTAAGCATTTATTTAAACAACAAAAAGTTGACAACAGAAGACAAGACAATTCTGCCTTCGATTTTGCAGACAAACATGTAAAATCATCCAAGTGCCAAAAGTTGAAAACAAAACCAGACACATTTAGCAGCAAAGTTATTCATCACATTTTACTTGCCTTAAAGACTGCAAGGAGAATTAGACACCTAAAAAAGATCAAGACTTGTCTTTTCTTTTTTTTGTCTGGGTTGTTTGGTTGGTTTTGGGTTTGGTTTTGTTGTTGTTATTGGTTTGTTTGTTTTAAACTAAGTGGAGATTCATTATTCAGCTGTAGCTCCGCCCCCATCCCGAGGTTAGGGGCACAATTTTTGGACTTGAAACAAGAATTAAATTTCAATAATTCCTATGATCAAAATGAAGGCTCATTAAGTTCCCTTCAAGATCTCTGAAAACTGCTATCCACAATCTTTACTGCAGTTAAGGTCAAGCTCTGATAAGTGCAGTATGATATAAGACATTCCAGAGCTTCTCTGTCACAAGCTTAGCAAAGTGAAGAATTTCAGCTGTTTTTGGTAATGAAATCCTGCACTTTTTGAAGACATTTTTTTTGTCCAAAGGAAACAGCATTGCAATGTATTCCTTCCTTTAAAAGATGGCCATCTGCAACAGTTTTTCGTATTGATCTCCAAGAATGTAACTTAGATATGCTAGATATGTTCTTCATCTGCCACGGGCACACACACAACTAAAATAATTTTTTTGAATTAGAAGAAAGCAGAGTTTTGAAACTTATTTCAGAGAATCTTGATAATATTGATCTAAGTAAGACAAAAATATCTGGCAGCTGTGGTCTCAGGCTGATGTTTTTTTCTAACATCTTGCTTTTTTTCCCCCCTAATCCTTCCCCCAGCATAATCTTCTTGCTATTCATGCTGAAAAGATACACTGTTCTAGAAGGAAGTGTGCTGCTTGTGTTTGCTACAGAGAAGTGACAGAGGAAAGCTGAAGAAATGGATATGCATCACAGGATGAGAACATTATTGTATCAATAATGCTCTTGCTATAGTTCAATTTATACCATCATCTATCACATAGACAATATCATAAAATCATCATTTCAAATCAGTGTATCAGAACTCAAGGGGAAAAAAAAAAAAGTCTGCACAGACCAAAGATAATCAGGAAGGCTGAGTTTTCTTAAAAGGTACTTACACCAAGAGCAGCTTGGTAGGTAACTTCTGATGGAAAGGTAAATGAAGGCCCTGTTGTGACTGGGCTGCTAGGGGGTGGAGTCACAATCAGTCCTGTAGTACCAATATGAACCTGTCAAAGGGAAAAAAAACAGAAGGGTCAGTTCTGAGTAGTTTAATATGAGCTGGTTTTGACACAAGTGTAAGCTTCATGGTCAAAATCACCAGTACTCTATGATCTGTAACTTTAGACTAGAAATAGTGTTTTGTTAGATACTCATACACACAGTATTGGATCACACTGCTCACTTGTTTTTTCCTGATGTTCCAAAAATTTTGGAAATATATTGAACTAGCATTGTGAAAAACACTTTTACCATGTCAGTTTTTTTTCCATAAAAGGCTGGCAGATCCCAAAGACATGCAAATAAAACACATTTACCAGCTCATGTAAAATGACACCAACACTTCTTAGTTTCCATTGCTACCTCCTCTCCCGAAGTGTAATCTCTATGTGAAAAAGACAATTGCTCATGAACTACTCTAACTTGTAACTAAAAGCTTTGAAGAAACAGGAGATTAACAAATAAATAAAGACAAACAAATATTTCTACTTATCACAATCAGATTCATATGGGACATTTCTGGAATTCATGTAATTTCCAAGTTGAATTTACCTTTTAGTTGCATGCACTTGATTAAAATCCAATATTATACTCAATTTAGAAAAAAAAACCAACAAACAAGAAATTAAGTCACTCCAGTTTCTAATTTCCGCAGTTGAACAAAAATCTTTGTGGCACTTAAGAAACTAACAACTGTGAAAAAAATTAGCTTAAAAGACCAAAAATGTTTGCTATCATTGTGTAAGTGTTGTAAAACGTTTTCCTTAAATGCTCTCATGTTGGAAGACAAACTTTGTGAAAGCATACGTTGATACTAATTACATATAAATAGTTAATTTGAAGTAACCTAACAAGATCATTAGCCTTTCCAGTTATTTTTAAAAAATACACATCTGATTAATATTTGATTTAATGTAAATTACCTGAGAAGGGGCACTACAGGAAAGTCCTGTCAGCTCACTTATGCGGGCTGCTGCAGTTGGGTTGCTGGAGCTGATGAGGACAGGAGGACTAATTTCCATTGAGTGGCGATTCTGAGAAGACTGTGAAGACTTGTTGGACATAGTGAGGGAGGTAAAAGAGTGCCGTTTTTTGGTGTTTTTCTTAGTATCAGTGTGCTTTTGGGTTGAATTGTTGTGGGCTGCCCCAGAGGTACCTTCTCCAGAGTCAACAGCAGAACCTGAGGGCTTATCCAATTCTATCAGCTGCTTGGCTGCTGTGTTAAACTACAAAAGATAGTCACATATTAGTGGTTTTTTATATACAAAAATCACCTGAATGTAACAAAAAAAAATCTATTTTCCTTTTATTAATAATAATATAGAATTTAAACCATGCAACTTAAAACCTCGACATACTGACCTATTCTACAAATTAGTCACTACAAAGTGACAAGTCTTTCACTACAAACTCAACACACTTACTGTTGGGCTGGTGGGGAATACCCATCAGAGGTAAAATTCCAATCAAGAAAGGAAGTCATGCTCTAGTCCAGGCAGCGATTAATTCAGCAACATCTGCTGACTATGTTATCTGGAAGTCACACTAAATCACAGCAGTCCCCTTTGACCTTATAATATAAAAATCTGCATTACAAAACTTCTTGAATGTTCATTTCATTTTTTAGCCTTTTTCGTTTTGTTTGCAAGGATGATGTAAGCCCACACCTTTGCATGTGGGCTCTTGAAGACATTCCTCCTAGTATCCCTTGGTATTCATGTCTTTAACACGATCAGTAGCAAAAAACACACTTCCTAAATGCAGATTTAGGAACATAGTAGGACAGACTAAAAGATCCAGCTATATTAATATACTGCTTGACAACAAGTAGCTGTATAAGCATAAGACAGTAGGAGAAAAGAAACATACATTGGCAATTCTGTGGAAATACCTTCTCAAGTTATGAATTTTCTAATGCAGAGGCAGCATCTCTGTGCCTAAAATCCCTCAAACGTTTCTCTTTTTTTAAGCTTATCTAACAAATTTTTGTTCACAGTGAAATTTTCTTTTTGTTAATTTGTTACAATACTATATTAATTGAAACCAAATCCTTCTTTTCCAATGAAGAAATATGGAATCCCACACATTTTCTTCTTACAATGAAATGTAAGCTATGTGAGGGGGAAGGGAGAACCAAGAAAAAAAAAAAAAACAAAAACAACCCACTACATTTTTCACAAACCCTTTATTTCCAGAAAATCTCATTTATATTTCAGAGTTTTTGGAAATAATAATGTCAGAACTCTCATTTATTCATGAGCTGAAATAACACCAGCACCAGTTTTCTGAACAAGTTAATGAATGTTAATATGTTACTAGAAATACTGCTACTCTGATAAGTGTGACCGATTATGAGGAAGGGAAAAAATCTTTTCTGAAGAACATCAGGACAACAGTATGAAATTAGTTACTGTGGAAGTACTATTTGTATTCTTCACCATATTATTTCTTCTATTTTACCCATTTTTCCATCAGTCTTAAGATACCTACTATGCTCATGGAGACTTTTAAAGCAATATTTAACCCCATCAAAAGTTTACTAGACAAGTAACACGTCTCTAATCATGACAGCATCAACACTGATTTAAAAGCAGCTCCCACAAATGACAACAGCTTATACACTGAACACCTTCCTATCTCTGAGGACAAGTAGATATACATAAAGTGGTACAAAAGAATAAAGAAGACATAATTTTTTTAACACAGAAAAGGACTTTCAAGTGGTATTTGAAAGATGAGCTCTGGAAGGAAATGCCATACATATACAGAAGAAATAGACAACGTTCAAAACTAGAACTACTGGAACAATGAGAAGTTGACATAAAAACCTACTAGGATGTAACAGCAGGAAAATTAAAATTATGAAAAGCTTGAAGAGGAAGAACTACCTAGAACATAATGCAATGGAAGAGGGGCATAATGGGGGATTTGAAGGCAGCTGAAGAGAACAGGAAGGATACGAGACAACAATGTCAGAGCAGCAAACATTCCTAAGAAAAAGGTGGACGCTAGATTTTCCTTCATGTTAATACTGGACAGGGATCATATATACAAAATTTTTATACCACTTCTGTAGTACTGAAGACATAACCATACAGCTTCCTCCAAGTAACCTGCAAGTCCATTATTTAGAGAATTAGTTTTTTATTTATTAAAATTTTAAATTTACAGTAAACATACTTTTAACAGACCAGTGAAAACAACTGTTATTTTATCACAGAACACCGATATGAGGCTGAAGGATATGAAACAAACAGAAAATAAGACCAAAAAAAGCTTACTCTGCTACCCCTGTCAGGGTCCTATCCCTCATCATGGAAGAACATACAGGCTTTTCAAAGACTAATTGTTTTATGTATTTTGCACATTCTATTTTTTCCAACTCAGACTGAAATTCTTCATGTCCTTCTTGAGAATCTGGGTCTTCCATATGCTCTTAAACTATGGCTGCAACCACTTCTATTCTTGTCTAATCTACTCTCTTATTTAGCAAAGAGCCTATTCACAAATTACACAGATCAGACAAAGAAAAGCTAATTTCTAAAACAACTTTTCTGATTAGGTAGTTCTTAAGGGATCACCCAGGAATAAAAAAACAAAAACAGAAACAAAACCAAAAGCCATTCTGCTAAAAGCACCCCAAGGTACCTGTTAGACCTAACTGTGTTTGTTTGCATCCTGAAGCTATTAATACCTGCAGAATCTGATTAATTCTATACAGTGAACAACCTATTAAGAGAAAAGTCAAGGCTTGCCCATGGAGTTGATTCAAATACCAGCAACGTACACAGGTTTCTTATTTGCAGAAGCAAGTACAGGACAGCAGCATGAATCTAAACATGGTAGTGAACTGACTACTGGGTTTTTCTTAGAAGCAACCTGAGGACAGCAATAGTTGCAGGATATTTTGCAGAGTGCAGTATACTTCTTCCTTGAGAAGAGAAATTAAGAACTTGCATGCATTCTTCAACACAGCATTCCTCTCTGCAACAAATACCACTGTTATCTATTCCCACTTTTCCTACATCAGTTACTTCCTAAACAAACATTTGAACAGAAGCTTCTTTACTTTAACTTCTACATTCACATTTACTTGTTTCTTCCATTCAACAAAATCTTTGCTGCAACAGGTAGCCTGAAATCCAATTCCTCTTCCGGCCAAAACCCAGGAAACAGAACAACATTCCAAACGGGGACAAGATAGAGGCAGCCAGCTGAGCTGGGTCTCAGGGCTGCAGTAGTGGCTGAGGCTAGCAGATGGGTTTCCACCCACTTGCAGTCATCTGGAGAAATTATCATGTAAACTACCATGCAGGATCTACTCCAAGGTCTCAGAGTTGTGCTTCGCTCTACAAGTGATCTTTCCATTCATGTTCATCCAAAGTTTTCATGTGTGCAATTTTACTATATCACCATATGCCAAGGAGTTATTTTTCCTCATTACCCACACTATTATTAGTCAAATTCCAGTTTCAAGACAATATCTCATTTTCATACATATTTGGAAACAAAAGAGTAAAGTGTAAGTGGAACTAAGGCAAGCGTTGTCCTTATTTGACATTATTTTTTGCTAAGCATCATCCTGAAGGATATGTAATAGCTTAAATTTGCAATTAAGGTTTCAGAACAAATATATTTTGTCCAAACCAGCGTAAGAATGATTTTGCAAATCTTGAACAGATCACAGTCATGAGCAGAGCTGCATCTGTATTAATTTTTGAAACAAAATAGTTTTGTATTGCAGTTTTTGTTAGGGAAATTAATAAAAACTATGATGCTCAGAAGGTGTCATTGGAATGATAACATTGAGATTATCACCTTCAAATATAGTGGGCGTTAGACTATAATTTTCTACTCAAAATTAACCATCTATATTTTCAGCCATAATGTACAACATTTTTTGCATAAATTTTCTGTTTTAAGGTCCAGGCAGGCAAAACAGTCAAAAAAATAGAGGAAAGTTCCCACAAAAAGTTTTATCTTATTCTTCTGAGTTCGTATTGTTAAACAAGTCTGAGTATCTTTTTCTGAGAATTTTAAATTAGATCACATCACCTAACAGTGATGGGCAAAGTTTATTCTAGTAAGTATAACATTAAAAAGACCATGCCAGAAATCCAGCCTAAAAGCCAACCTAAAAATGTATAGACACAATAAAAAATTGATTTGCTTTGAAACACTCCTGTTTGGTACAGGAGGAGATGCTGAAAAAAAAAAACCAACTCCAAATACAACCAAACATCCTGACACACTAGGTACACAAAATGTTATGTTCTCATTGACTAAAAAATTGTGTTAACTGATGGATGCAGTAGTATAAAATGACAATGAACTTGAAATTCTACTACAATGAACATTTTAGATAACTTAGGGGTTTTTTTCCCCCTACACCTCCACAATGTAGTTTATAAATAAAGCTAGAGGAGCTGGATTAATACAAAGGTGTTTCCCAGTTGTTCATGTTAACTTGGAAAAACAAGAGCTGTCATTATTTTCTACTGACATTTTGATTGAAAAGTGATTTCCCTGATTTTTCTTTTTCAATTCTAGGCATTTGTCTTTTTCTAGTTGTTCTGCACGAGTATTGAATAAGTAAAAGTTTAAATACTTTTTAGATTTGGAGTGTGTTTACTAAGTGTTAAAGCACATCAAATATCAAATTTGAGGTCTAAGAAATGTACGTTGTACCCAGAACTGTACTTCACATAGAAAAATTCTAATCAGAACTAAACAGATAGTATTAATCTTTCTTTTTGGAACATAGATAAACGTGTTATGAACTTAATCACACAGTTGCTAGACTCACTGCATTTTATTTTGTCTCTGTGCAAGAACCTGGTTGAGCTGCTTTTAATGCAAGCACGCTGAAATTCCACCAGTCAAAAGTCTAGTTATTTAGATACATTAATCAGATCTTACTCTAATAAAAGTAGAGTGTTTGTTTGGTTTTAGTACTTCTGAGAAAATACAATTTCATTTTCTGCAATGGTTTGCATTATTTATTTTTCATTTGCAGATAGAAGTAACTATTTCACAGTGCTATGTGTCTACAGATAAAGATGTAATGTTTTGTGAGTCACTTAAACTATACTTTTAATGGAATCACTATTAAAATGCCTCTCAAAATGTTTTCAGTCTAAGCTTCTATTATTACCACAAATTTAATAAGTGAAAGTGATATAAATGAATAGAGCAGACTAGCAATCACTGAATCATAAAATGTTCCTCCAGGTAAAAAACTGTCCTCAGATATAATCAGAGTTTTTCATGGACTTCAACATATCTAAAATTTTATCCTGTGATCTCATTGTACAAGAAACACTGCAAGTATCAGACCTGTACTACAGAATAAACATCACAGACTACACTAATTTTAAAGTTAATGACTTCCGAAAATCTCCAGTAAATGCAGCTACTAATTCAAATTCTTTAAAAAAAGAAAAAAAGGATGTGGACTAACATACACAAGGCAAAGATATGTCTGCCATTATGACAAAAATAGGCAATGATTACTGGGAACTATAACTAAAAATTACATATAAAAAAATACCTCAAAACTACTAACTACTTCTGATCTTCAGAGTCTTTAATAATAACATAGGTAAGAACGATTTGATATACTTGTTTGTATCAACTGTATGTATATTTTCCAGAACAATAGTTATATAATCTCAGAAAACAACTATTTCAAAATTCAAACTAATAGTTTTCTGCATATCTCACTGCTCTCCACCACATCATGGGTTTCAGTTTAGTATAGACTGAAAAAAAACACCTATCTAATCTGAAGTATCTCTTGGGGTATTATTTATCATTCTAGATTTCCCACATCATTTTAGTGGGGATTTGAGAGTGTGTACACAAGTGCTTGTGCCTGTTCTAAAAGAGTTAATTGAAGACATATTTTCTTAGTTGATAGAATTTGTCTGAAAACATCAAGAGTGAAATACATTTTGTGGCTATAATTTTTACTTTTTTTTTTTTTTTTTTTCCTCTCTCTCAACAGTGTATCTCCATTTTGCAGACTTTGGTGGAGATGGAAAAAGAGCTGTTACCTAAATAGCTAGCCCAAGTGGCAGCCCTAGGAAAGGGCTTTTTCTAACTTCGCCAAGTTAAATGATTTAGTTTTAAAAAGCATCACAAAAAGCTTTACTGACTGAACTGGAGGGGCAGTTAATTGCAAGGAGCTAGGAATGAATAGCCAGGGGCAAGAACTTCTTAAACTGGCTTTTAAAAACTTCTTAAACTGAAGCTGGAATTGCACTAATCGGGCTGAAACCCTTTTGGTTTTGTTGTTTTTTCAGTAACGCGAAATTTTCTGTCCCCAAATAGACAGATCCTACATCAACTTATAAAAAAGAATATACGTATTTTTCCCTTTAAAAAGAAATTAAATCCCATGTTGGTTGAGCACAGTAATTTTTAAAAAAATTCCCATATCACGACAGTATTCAGAAATTTAATTAATAAAGTCTGACTGGATTCTTAGTAAGGTCATAGAAAAAATGTGTAACCAGAGGTAAACATTTCTCATCCCACAGGTAATGTGAAAATGCTTTTTTCTTTCATCGTTCTGCCTCATTTATTTAAATAAAATCTCTTCAGTGGGAGAAATGTGTCTTACCAGCTATCCATAGCATACCTATCAGAAAAAGACGAACACTATTCCAAACCTCTGTATCTTTCTATAATGCAAATTTTAATCACCATTGCTGCAGCTGTACACACTGTTCTTAATCACCTATGTCTTTCCATATAGAAGATACAGCTTTCAACTCTTAAACCTTAAAAGGTTGGGGAAACCTTCTCAACTGCTACCTCTCCCTGTAAATTGTCATATCACATATGAGAAATGCACAAAGATACACAAGATGTCATATGAGTCCATTGGATGTAAAAGTCAATGCTTTACCTGCTTAACAACAGCCTATACTCTCTTTCTGGTTGTGCTAATTTGTTTTCAAGAGGCAGGTATTAGGGACATGCAAAGCTTACTATTTCTCTGCCCTGCTGATTGGTTTCATTTTGCAGTTAAGTGTGGTTTGTGATTGACTGCATGACTCCAGTACTAACAAGAGAACACAGTGACTGCCTCCAAGTGCTTTCATTCCAATTCCACTCAATGAAAATAGATATCAAATAGCTAAGTAAAATCACTGGTTCAGATGCCGAGGTCATTAACTTTCCCAAACTAAGTCATATTGTTTAGATCTAAAATAATACATTATTTTAGGTGTAAGACTATTTATACCTCAGGTTATTTTAGAATCATCACCAGTATTGATTTTTTTCCTTTTAGAAAATGAAATACACAGTGGGCACCACCTTACCAAGGGCCCAGCTTTACTCACCTCAACATATGAAATTGGAAATATTCCTATCTTGTCAGCCAGCATTCCTTCTGCCCAGTTTTCATCCACGCGGCGAATTACAGTCAGAACATCATCCTGTGTGAACATGCAGTGATTATGTCTCCCAGCTCTAATTAAACTTCTAATTTAATTTCTCTCCATAACGCATGGGTAATCAGAGAAAGCAATACATGGACAAGAACCGCAGAGAAGGCACTCCATAACAGGAACATGCTGCTTTTGGGACTGAGGTCAGTTCCAGCCATTCCTATTTTGTCAGAGTTCAGCTAACTGTCCACAGCTAATCTCAGCCATCTGACTTTGTCCTTAGTGCCAGACTTCCTGCCATGTTCAGTCCATGGTATTCATCAACCCTCCTTTAAATCCTTGGTATTAATCAACAGAACCTGAATCTTTTTCCTTGTCAGCTGACTCATTAACTAATCTTCCCTAGATGTTGCCTTTCTACTTAAGTACTTAAGAACACTGGTAAGTGATATGATTTCTTTCACATCTACACAGAGCAGCTGGTTTAGATATGGTTTTGAGAATGTTATATAAAAAAAGGATTTACGTGCATGTTAAACATTGCTCTTGCTTATACTGAGATATGTAACTGTTTCATCTGAAAGTTAAAGTATTTGTAAACACATGCTTTCTCAAGCGAGACTACAGACTGAAAAAAAACCAAAACCGTTTGCAAACAAATTAATCACAATATGTAAGCTAATGCCAATCATCCTAAAAAGTATTGCTGCTCTGTGTTGTAAGAACCATTGCTTGCCCATATGTTAATATCCTTCCTTTTTAGAATTGTAGCCGTCCTTTCATTTCAATAGGCAAGGGGCAGAAGTGGTTACCTCACATTTGATCTTGTAACATTTTTGTGCAATTTGATATACTAAAGAATCAGAAACCGAAAAGGAACAGCTCTGATTCCTGTTAAAACCCTCAATCATTATATGCCTTGCAAGACAGAAGATTATTTACAACAGAAACATAGCGTCATATTTTCCAAAAGGCTATTAGTAGTATTATAGAATGACAAAGTTTAGTAGTACTTTGTATTTAGCAGCTAGATCCCAAACATGTTGCTTACTAAATGCAAAGCTGAAAACAGTATCAACTTCAACAATTTAAAATGAGTGTTTAAGATGAAAACCTTTCAATTCATAACATAGGTTATTTCTCAAAAATTAGTAACTTTACTACTGCAATTATGAAAAACTGCATTCTCAAAAATAAAACCTCAGAGAAATTATATGCAATTTAGAAAGAGAAGGAAGGTGAAACTGACTGGCATAGGAGAAATACCTGCAGAATTACTTGTCCTTTTCATATTGGTGCAGCTCCATTAAAAAAATATACAGACAAGACCACAGAATAGTTGTCTTATTTCTTACTAAGTAAATGAAATTGTTAAAAGAAAATAAGAAGTTTGTTCTGCTTTTACCTTTGCAAATGGTAAACAGTCTTTATCTGCTTCCTTGTCTTTTACTTCAAAGTCATAAAGTGCTTTGCACTGAGGCGGGGGTTGAGGTAAAGGTTTAATAATCTGAACAAAATTGGTAGGGAAAAAGCCATGGATGCCATTGACTTCTCCATGATACCAATTTTCATCCACCTGTCGACGCAAAATGATGATGTCTCCTTTACTGAATTTAAGATCTCCAGGTTCTTTTCCCTCGTAGTTATACAATGCTTTGGCACATGGTAACTGAGGTACACCCTACAGAAGAAAAAAAAAATAATCACTAGAATTAGATAAGTATTACTAAATAGAATGCATGTTATATTCTTTTTGAGACTATGAATGAAACTGCGTAAAATTGCAAAGTAAAGTTATACACAATAGCATTATTTTATTGCAATGATTCTGCTGATTTTACCCAAATGCATAGAAAAAGCTTCAGTTCTATACCATCTTAACATCCTTTCCCCCTAAATTTTGCGATGATTTTCAGTAATGCTACAATGCTGCTAGACACAAGAGAGCCAAAAAAACCATAGTACTTTAACCCTCATGTACTAATTCACTGAGCTTAAACATTAAAAAAAAAAACAAACCAAAACCCAACAAACAAACTGGAAAGTATACTGACCACTTGAGAGATCTGACAGAAAAATGCTGCAAGAAAATACAGCGCTAGAATAACAAACTTGCTGTAAGACCTTGAAGTCATGTTTTCCACCTGTCTGACTTGCTTATTGTTTTCCTCACCTTATTTATTTCACAGGCTCGGAATGCTAAGGATGAGGACATAAAGGAAGTGTTTTCCAGCTTGAAAAACAAATCTCACTTTATTAAAGGTGAGATAGTAAATCCTGGAACAAGCCTTCTTATTTAATTATTTATTTAAAAACACAGCTAAAAATAATTACTGGAAAAAATTCCTTTGGGTTTTCTTCACTTGATTCTTTCATAATAGCTGAAAACTATAGGTCATTGGTGCTGCTCTCGAATGTATGCCAGAAGGATTACAATATAATACTGTGTCATCCTCCCTTATATACACTGCAGGTATTGTTTTTTTAATTGCTCGGTCTGTCCCTCCACATTTTGCCAGGGCGAACCATAAAACTCTGCAACTCTACTATTAGGGCTACTGCCTTCAAAACTCTCCTTTCTCTTGAACTTTTACCTAGAAGAGAGCTCACCCCTTAATGATGCAAACAGCAGCAACCTGCATTTCTAAGACAGTCTTTCCATAGAAAAGACAGCATTTATAGTCTACTAGAGCACAGTATTTCACATCTTTAATGCCATCCCATACGGAAAAGGCAAATTTTAATGAAATTCAATGTTGGTGATGTTATTCGTCACATCTACACCACGGTTATGTCTCTCCTCTCAAGTCTTCTAGCAGCTCAGGCTGTAAACTAGAGTTGCACTTGCAATTTTTCAAGAGGTACCCACACAATGCAAGGGAAACCTCAGAAGGAATTACCGTTCTGAGTCTGTCTCATTGGTCAGAACACAGAGCACTTGGTATTTTATTTTGCAATTAACACTTAAAATATAATACATTTTGTTTGGCCATCTTTAATTTCTGTGTATGATTTTATGAACAGATTAATAATTTAATTAATGGATAAATAATATCTTAAAGATTAGTTTATTGAATAATTTTCTTTCTATACCCAACAGTCAAAGGATAACCACATGTATATACATAACTACCGATTAGTATGATTTACATACGAATACAGGAAAATCACATTTCATTCTATTGCATCTGGGATGGGTACTAAGACTATTATATTAGCAGGATCCATGCAATTCTTCACAAAAACCAGTGACCCTCCGACTGACACAAACAATATTTTTCTTCATGATCACACTTAACTGCATCAGTGCTGAATGTAGACACCACTGGCATCCTGTGGGTTAGACCACTGTATAAACCTGGACAGGGAAAAAGACATCAACCAGAGAATCTGTAGGACCCAACTGACTGAGGGGGAAATTCATAGCCACAATAGAAGAATTAAAAAACATTGTATGTATGTATTTTTTAGTCCTCTTTGCTCTCTGTAGAGCAAACAGAAACCAAAGGAAACAGTCAGTGTAGATGTAGTAAGTGCAGAGAGAACTGGGAGGCAGGTTGGAAGCAGAAGAAGCACACCTCTATACAAAAAAGGGAACACTGCTTGCTTATCCATTTCCACGCCAATAACAAACCGAAAAACTGCAGCCCCTTATTGATTATGAGCCAAAGAATTACTTGGTAGGAAAGGGGCTCCAAACAGTTACGGCTACTACAAGGCACACGCATCTCTCTCGCACTGGAGGGAACAGCTGGAGCTCTCCCAGGAATCACTCTGTTGTCCCAGGAGAAAGCTTTCTACGTCCCCATACTGAGGATGAACTTCAAGATTAGCTGTGCGTTTAAAATGGGAAAAAAAAAAAAACCTTTTAAAAAACAAACAAAACCAAAACAAACCAGGAGTGCCAGCACAGCAGGTCATGTCAAAGGGATCAAACTCATCAATTAGTCATCATTTAATTGTTAGAACTTGATATTGCATATATGCAGTTTATCACGAAGCCTGCCATGAACAAACCTTCACTCAAATGTACAAATATCTGTTTATATTATACAGCTAATTCCTTTCCCAGTGTATAGGTTGAGTTTCTGCAAAGCTTGTTTGCCACATTAAATAGAAATAGTTCCAGATGTAATTTCAAACAGAAAAAAGTTTAACAAAATACACACTTGGTTCTCAGTCAGACTACCAGGGATTAAAGAGCAATGGTCAAATGACTCGGAAGAGACGTAAAGCGAATGCCTTTTCCTTCTGTCTCAGGGAGAGGATGAAGGGAGAAGGACCAGGTGTGATGGGGATCGGGGGTACGGGAGCAAGGGCCCTCAAGCACCATCTTCACATTCCTCCTACTCCGAGCAACCTGGGCTCAGGGCCGGTGCCTTCAGGGACACTGTGGTTAGCAGCCTTGGGTGGCTTCAGCCCCTCTTCTGTCCTGCCAGATATTCACCAAGAGAGAAGGCCGTGAAGACACGCTGAGCCAGAGTTTTACATTTCACTCCGTGTCTCTCACTTGGCTAAACATGAAAGGAAGGCTTTGGAGGAAAAACTTTGCAGCCTACCCTCAGGTTTACAGATGCCATTTACCCTGCCAGCCCTTTGAGAAAGCAACAACAACAAAAAGCCCAGACAAAAATCATTTTAGGAAATTAAAATATAAAACCCAGAAAGACTCCACACGAAATACGTTTCTTAGAGTTATTTCCTCAGTCCTCTTGCACAATCTTTATGCAAAAAATTTCAACTTCTAATGCCACTGCTGATACAGAAACTGTTTAAATTCAATTTTAGCTAAGACACGGATATACATACATTTCACATGCCAGATTCATTTAAAGAAAATAAAATTAATAATATATTATGGCATCAAAACAAATGGGTTAACAAGAATATGAAAAAATGCATATGCATTCATATATATGAAGCTCACATCCCTTAGATTTCTTCTCCCAATACAGAATCTGCTTACAATTTTCCTCTTTGGATTTATACTTTGTCTTCAGTCACCTTATTTCAAACTTTACTCTTATTTTCTTAACAGACAATATGCAACTGTATTGTATTTTTCATGAGCTTAAGCCAAAAGAAACTTATGCCTGCACAGAAACATGAGATCTGATTTCCCTTTTTTAAAAAAGAGTTTCTTTTCTGGGACAGAAGCCCAAATGTAAGTATGCGCACACTGGCATTACACAGTGTTCATTGTATAACTTACTGCAGTAGGAGAACCAGCGTAAGCTAAAGTAGCAAAAATAGTAAATCCCCTCCCAAGGAAATGAATGGAACAGATACTGGGTCATCCGCATCTTTGTCGTCCCAATCCTCCCCGGCTGCCGTGCTGTTGGTTGTCACTTTTCCAAGCAAGCAAGGCATTCCTTGTTCTCCAGCTGTGAGACTGGGATGTGGCCTGTGCTTCCCTGTAAACCGGTTGAATTTATGCAGAATATCGCTGCAGTTTTCCCCTGTTTGAGGTTCCCAGACACTGAATGTCTTCAAGAGGCCAGGAAGTCTTCTTTTTACAGAAGCACTGTTTATGCCAGTAGTAGGAGAGACTAAAAAGATTTCTGAAACTGTCTACATGCACAACCAAGGAGCTATCAGCCCCCAGAAAAGCTGGCCTGCTCGGACACCTCATCAGCAGTTTTTATCCAAGCTTTCTTAAATAACTTCTGCCTTTCCTTATGGAAAGTCTAAACCTGGAAGTTACTATTGTTTTGATCCATGTTGTAAGAAGATCTTTAATAAATATCAGTTATTTGCCATTTTCTTAGAAGACAGAAAAATTATTTTTCTTCATCTATCTTTTAATTTTCTATCCATGCAGTTTCTAAATCAGTCACCTTAATAATCAACACAAGATGCAATACTACTATGAAAAATTTACAATTACACAGCAATTGTAAGTACAGTAAGTCTAGTGCTACAGAGGTGGTTTTACCAGTCTAACTTTTTTCCCCCCAAAGAACCAACATTGTAAGACACACCTGGTTGCCAATAAAAGTTGCCTTTACATAAGGAAAGGAGTTTGTTAATATGCTGCCGCCAACTTGTTTGCAAGGCAGATTTGGGTCGAGTTCTTTATGTGTGCATTCTCCAGTAGGCACAGGTATACCCGAGATTTCCTATTCAGGCCCCTAGTCATTAAAACCTTTTGAATGAGAATATTGCTTCTTTTAATCTTCTAGACCATTCTCTTTTATATTCTTGCCTTCTTGACTCAAATCTTTCAATTGCATCCTTTTTATTACTTCTTTAATGTGTATTTTTGCTTTCTTGCCTTCTTTGGCCTTTACCAAGCTGTCCAATCCTATGTGTAAAAACATCCCATTTTGCATCTGTATTTTTTTCCATGTCTCTTTCATCTTGCTGGCTCCAATACCAAAGGTTCAAGTCTTAATTTAAAGGCACCTGATCCGTCTAGTTGAATTCTCTTTGTTTCAGCCTGCTTTGTTCTTTCTGTACCTGCACTTAAATTTTCACACATTTTGAGACACAAAGCTTATGCGAATATTTCACCGAAGACCTTCTTAAATTGCTTATATTAATAGATGTGCTTCCTTCAGTAGCATTTCCTTCTAAATGAAACGTGCTCCCTATATTGAGCTGTAGGTATACTGCTGTCACCTGAACAAATTAAATACTCAGTTTTGCAGAACACACCAACCCAGAGGTGTTAATATTTGAAAGTAAGTCACCCCATTTCTTTTTCGGTTCCAGAAGACCGTGCCTCCATAATCCAAGAAGAATGTTTTAAAGCTGGCTCCCTGCATTTATTTTTCTCATCTAAGCAACAATACAAACGAGGTCAGATTTGCTCAAAGAAAGGCTAATTCAAGCATTATTAAGGGGCATCTGACACTAAATTGTTAGTGGAATCAATTTTACATAATTCTACTATAAGAACCATCTTGGAAGACTGCAGAGGTCACTAGTGCCAATGAAATGATTTCTAGTTACAGCACCTCTGAGGTTACTGCTATCTGAATGATAAAAATGTAAGATAGTTTATGTCAGGAGGCTTATATCAGGTTGCCAGTATGCTGTAACAAGCATAAAAACAAACTTTGGTATCATCTGATATGAATTACTATTGCTCTACTGAATACAGTGAAACTGTATTTTTAATATGACAATTCACTAGACAAAGTGAGTAATGTTAATATTGGTAAGCATAGTAATTTCTACTAGTTTCTAATGATATAGTTGTGCTAAATCTTATTGTTCTCAGCACACATAAAATAAATAACCACACATTTGACTTAAAACAGTAAAAAATTTGTAGTTGTTTTGAAATGCTATATTCAAATATGGTTAGTCACAGCTCGGTGCAGTTTTTGATTTTAATAAAAGTAGGAGAAGCTGTGCATTGAGAGGAAACTAGCTAGCCAGGTTACCCTGACTAAAGAGACCAGGTTTGAAACACATCTGTGTGTAACTTCACAGTGACCTACATAAGAATAATCATTTTGAAGAAAGATTACTGTAGGAAAAAAACAGGATGCAGGATACAAAAAACATAATCAAGCCAACATATTTGTTATACTTTTGGAAAAGCTGAACAACTGCAATCAGTAAAAATTTTTGGTTCCTGATAAATGAATAAATGGGATGATATTTTTACAATTATTAATTTGACCATCAGGTTAATTTACGCAGTAGACCTGCGCAGTTTCGCTGCTACTACATAACTATTATAGAATTTTCTCTAATGCTTATACATTATAACTAACACCAGTTCTAGTTCTTGATGTAAAAGCGTGTGACATATCAGAATAGTCTTCATTAATTTCCAGGTTTCATCAATCTACTGCAGGCTGAAATGCCAAGCACTCCTAGTGCCCTTTTCCTGACTCTTCTGAGGACTTCATCAGTTAACTTTGCTCTTAGTAACTTGCAGAAGACCTGCACTTCACAGGCTCAGAGAAACATTGTATTTTGCAAGAGAAGGCTAGCTCCTCTCCTCATGTAAACAATTTTTATGAGTTCTTTTGAGGTAAACTACAGATGACCTACTTAAAGTAGCCAGTTATGAAAGTCCTTTTTGCTTCCTCTGTCTTAACAGCTTTTATAAGAAAACATTTTGTCATGTTTTCTTGTCTCATGTCCAGAAATAAATATAAGGTGGTTTAATATAAGTATGAGCAACTCTCTACCACAAAGTTGTTTTGAAATTAAAAGCTGGAATACAGAAGAATGAAAAGAATTTTAAAATGTTGCCTTCAGGCCTAAGCAATCAGACTAATAATATGGAAGGTTTGAAAGGGACATTTACAAAGCTTTCCAAAGGCTCTTAGCCCAGTTCCTTTCTGTGCGATACCTGTGTTTCTGAAAACTTTTTTCAAACAAAAAAAAAAGTGTTTTCAGAATGCCACCTTCTTTCCTTTGCCTATCCAAAATGCAACGTTCTCAGCTACTTACTTTTCTGAGGTTTGCTAAGTGAAGAAAATTTTGAACACTTTCCACTAAACTAAGCTCTAAAAATAACCAAACAAGTAAGTAAAAAATAGGAAAAAATGAAGAGGAGAAAATAATGATATCCTGCACATTGCATGTCCCCAGATACTCTTACTGTAAGCACTTGATAGGTTAAAGATTGCTTCTTTCCATGGGCAAAAAAAAAAAAAGAAGCGAGAGGAAACTGCTCTGCACAGGAGATACTGAGAAGGTAACTTCCAAGATGTAGAAGAGAATTTGGGTCTGTATTCTCATTGATTTTGAAAAGAAAATACAAAGCAGATCAAATAACCTCATTGTGAGTCTTTAAAAATCTTTTGATTTTAATTGTTTACTACAAAACCATTTTGCTTTGAAAAAATCAGATCCTTTTAAGAATATAAAAAAACCTTGTATGATAACACAATAGAATTGCTATGTGCACTATGTAGAACTAAGATGTTTATATAAAACAGTTCAGATCTGTTCTTACAAGCTGTTACATGAACATCACTGGTCAGCCTGAAAATGCTACTATCCCTGTTGGTTTTCTCTTGGTATATTACTACTCACTGGCATTTGATGTCTCCATAAACCTAATTTTTCTTGTCCCAGTGCCCTTGTGCAGCAGTGTGGATCTCCTAATCTCTTTAAGCATGTCAAACTGTTATACAGCATTCCATTTCACTTTAAACTCTTCTACCAATATATTTTCCAACGCATTCTATTTTCTTGTAATATCATCTATGGCTTCTAAGACCAGAATACTACATACCCCAAGAAGAAGGAAAAAGAGACACTTGCCCCTCTTGGGAAGCATGCATCTAGAGGAGCAGTAAAACTGTGAGACTGGGTAGTGGGACTAATTAGTCCTGCTCCAGACTGCCACTAACTACTTGCATATCCCTGAAGAAGTCTCAGTGTGGGGCGAGGTTTTAAAATTTATCTAGTGTTCCCCAACTATATCCAATTTGTCAACATTAAAATCTCTATGGACATCCAAAGTTACAAAGTGAGGTCAACACTAAGTGCTTTGGGAATTGTTGCTGTTTCCACTTTCTCTACATACACCTATAAAAGTGCAACAAACTTACCTCACAGGTATTAACTTTATCTTTTTAAAGAGCACTTTGGAAAATGGAAAACAGATGCAGTACATTACTGATCCACTGCTGCACTTTTATTTTTCTAGCCAGGTAGTACTTGTCTTTAGCAAGCAGCCTCATTTTGCCTACTCACCCAGTAAATGCCTTTTGTAACTATCACTGCACACAAAATCTGTTACGGGAAGTGTGACAACTTTCTTGTGCCTATACAGATTCTTAAATATCACTTGGATTTTTTTTGCTTGTTTGTTATATGAACATAAAATCACAAAACAGTGACTACAGAAAAGGCAAAAAAACCCACCTTCTGAAAACTACCTAAATACAGACCATACCTGACTGTTAAATTCTTTCCCGAAATTCATTCTTACCTGGCTATTGCATAGCCTTCCCTTTCCACTCTTCATTTTAGTTTCCACATAAACTGGAAATTACACATCTTTGGCATCCTTTTGCTGCTGTCCAAATTCATACTTACCCTTTTAATACAGTTGCCTGGAAGTCACTTTCCCTGTCAAAAGCCATATGTGCAACTGCTTAAAAAGCCAAATAATTAATTCCCAAGCAAGATGTGTGCCATCCTGAGCTTGAAGTCCAGATTAAATATAACTTCTCACGTAAACCCAGAATATTCTTCTTTCCCATTGGCTTAATGGGAGGCAGCTAGAGATGCCACAGGACTTCACATACGTTTCCACAAACAAATAAAGTGTCAGTACTGCAACCAGTAGAATTTGAAATCTGCAACAACTTTATCTGTCATCGAGAAGAAAAAAAAATACCAATCCAGCAAAACATTTGCTACAGATCTTGCTGTAATCTCTAGAGTCAGTA